CCACACAAGCACAATTTAACTACGGATATTGGTTTCCAGTGTCAATATTATATTGCTTTAAATTGCTTCCATTGTTTTAAGAAGATATCTTTTGTTTGTCACATGCATAGGGCTGTTCATGATAACTTGCAAAAAAACAAATTTTGTGCAAGAATTATATTGGAATTAAAGGAAGTCATAGATTTCTGGCACTCAGTTTTAGATTTACACACTTCAAAACTGAAAATTATAAACATATCAACATGACCTGGGGTGGGAGGGAGAGAGAGAGATGAGAAGGTTCTGTGTAGGTTTATTACAGCACCTGTTAAAAACCTGGAAGACATAGCATGCACTCTTCCATAAATCTGGTAGTTTCAGTTGAGAGGCAGTCATGGCTCTAGCACATGGGAAAGGCTCAATAAATATTAATTTTGTGGTTAAGATCACGTCTGTGGAGACAGATCGCCTGGGTTCCAGTCCTGGCTCCATTACTTACTAGAACTAGTGGTGTTTGTGTCTCTCCAGCTGGCATGAGGGGGTCAGGCGGAGGAAAGGCTCATACTCCATTACATTAGTTATCATGCAATTTATTCAAGTATTTGCTATTATTTGTCTTTTCGATTTTCAAGGCTGTTGACAAATAACGTTAGCTACAATGCCTTTAAAATGTTGGTGGTAATATTTATCATTTGATGTCTCCATTTGCCTGGCTTGTTTAGAAATGGTACAACGTGGTATCCCACAATTGTCTACCCTGGAAAAACAATTTAAAATTACCCTAAAATACATTGCAATAATCAGTTATGAGCACCTGTGAAATCTACACTCTTCTATACTTGTTTCTTCCAAACATCCCTATGATCCCACACACCAGTCAGAGGCTCCAAACTCAGTGCCCACCACGAAGATTTCACATGTGAGTGCAGCTGACTTCTGGCACTACCTGAATAAGGAGCTGCATCTGAGCTAAAGACACTGACGCCGTGGGGGATGCACATCCAGTCGGCCAGAGAGTCTACATTTTCAAGAGATGCCAGAAATTGGGATTTTTACTTTACATGATATTTCTCACTTAAAAATTTTTGACTCTATTTATTTCTTCTATTTTTTTAATTTTTACCTCTCAAATTTGTTTCTTAGTACAAAAGTCTGTGTGTCAAACAACACATTTGAGGGCCATTTAATGTCAAATACCGGCCAGTTATACTAGCACATACGTACAAGTACACTGTGCTGTTAGTCAAATCAGCAAATGCTTTCCAAGCCCTTGTGCTAAGGCATGAATAAAAAGTGGGGAAGACAAAATATGACAAAATCTTTACAAAACTCACAAGTCTAATGGGGAAATAGGCAATAATGTCACAGAAGAGAGTGAAAAATGCTATAGCAGAGTGTGGAACCCAGGACTTAAGCCTGGTGAATTAAGCATTTGATCAGGCCTAGGTTAAAACAGACAAAAAACAAAGAAGCCTATTATTTGAAAGTTTGGCAAACGGTGGACACCCAAGTAGATGGCTCTTTTGTTTCACAAAACACCTTAATGGATTTTTGGGGTGGAAGCTATGCATGGACAGGGCCAAGCCTTGCACGGTTCCAGGGGGACCATTCCTATTGTGGCTTGTACAATTGGCACCCCCTTGAGCACCATTCAGGTTGTATTCTTTATGAATGGTACCCCCTGGATTTGTGCAACCTGGCGATTCTGTCAACAAAGATAGGCCTGGAGTCTGGCCTGAGAGGAGGATTGAGCTAAATCCTTCTACATAATAAAGAGGAATTTTAAATCTTTGCCTAGTGGGTGGAGGCAGGAGGCTGGAGGGGTGCCTGTGATGGTGAGAAGAAAAAGGTTTTGGAGGAAAGATCTCTAGGATGAGGGTGGGCCAGCAATTTGGCAACAACCTGGAGCCTATGAACCTGGTGAGAGAGTCCCTGTAATTTTTAAAAGAGTCGCATAAAATCCTCCGTCATCTTCTTTAACTTCTAGGAGACACTGACAAATGAAGTCAAACAACTTTTTCTTTGGCTTCAAGTATAGCCTTTGAGCCTTTTATGTATGAATCAGCAGATAACCAGGAAAGATTCGATGCTCAGGCTCACTTGGTTAAATATACAATACTGTAATAACTTGCCTTTTTACTGTTTTTCTTCAAAAAGCTCAAAGTACTTATACTTTTATTTCCTCATTTGTTCTAACATTCCAGTGTGGGAGGGGAAGATTTATGATAACATTATTTATAGATGGAGAAATTGAAATAGAGATTAAGTCGCTTACTCAATGTTGCATAGTTTGGGTGGTGGAGCCCACACTGGAATTTGGTTCTCCAAGCTCCTGCCACGAAGTGGAGAGATCCTGAGTTTTGGAATTAGAGAAATCTTTGTTTGAACAACCCAGAGTTCTGCCCTTTCAATAAGAATGTGGCCTTAAGTCAATTATTTCACCTAGGTCTCAGTTTTTCTCTTCTGTAAAATTAAGACCATAAACCTCATACTAGTGTAGTGAAGATTAATTTAGAAAATGCATATAAAGCCCTGCCACAGAGCAGTTCCCAAATAAGATTAGTTCCACCCCTAACCCAGTATTATCTGGTTAAATTTCAGTACAGATTTAAAGTAATCAAAAAAGAATCCTCCATGAATACTCATTTTTTTTTTCCAAGCCTCATCTCCCACTGAGAGCAAAACATGAAAAGAAATGCTTCCACACATCATTTAATTCAACGGGCAAACTTTTGCTTCGGTGGAGTTATTCCTGTTGGGGATAATTAGAAAAAAGAGTTATGTGGAAGACAAGATAGTAGAGTGCAGTGTTTCTAAAACTTGAGAATGTATCACAGTCACCTGCAAGGCCTGTTTAAACACAGATTGCTGGGCCCCACCCTGGAGTTTCTGATTCATGAGGTCTGGAGTGGGGCCTAATAATTTGCATTTTTAACAAGTTTACAGACGATGTTGATGTTGCTAGTCCAGGGAGGACAGCTCAGAGAAGCACTAGCATGGGTAAGTGAAATTCGGGGGGTGCGGCCCAGCAATCTGTGTTTTAACAAGACCTCTGGGTAATTCTGATGCACTTACCAGTTTGAAAACCACTGGTATAGGGCGCCTGGGTGGCTCAGTTGGTTAAGCGACTGCCTTCGGCTCAGGTCATGATCCTGGAGTCCCGGGATCGAGTCCCACATCGGGCTTCCTGCTCAGCAGGGAGTCTGCTTCTCCCTCTGACCCTCTTCCCTCTCATGCTCTCTCTCTCTCATTCTCTCTCTTTCAAATAAATAAATAAAATCTTAAAAAAAAAAAGAAAACCACTGGCATAGTGATGAAAATCATCTGAGGAGACAGACACACGTTCAAATCCTGACTGTGCCATTTACTAGTTAGATTAGTTCGGTGATAGACCTCTAGCATATTTGAGTCCTGCGGGAGGCTGACAAGGTCAGGATTCCTTCTCACTATCCTTCTAAGCTTCTCTGTGGAAAGAGAAGTTAGTGAGTCCTGCAAATCCAGGCTCTGTTTTTCACTTCTTCACACTGTGAGGTGCGAAAGGCTGCTTAAATTTGGGTATTAGGGAAGTATTTACAAACACTTCTGCAAACACAAAAATAAAATAAACAAGACAGCGCTGTAAATAAAGCCAATGGCAAAGGCATTGTTTATATCTTAAATTCATAATAATGGGTTTTGAACCATTTCCATTTTCCTGCCTTTCTTGCTAGAAAAATTTTAAAAACCTTCCTCCCCCACAGTTTTAAGAGCTGCTTGTAAATTTGTTTTGCAGACAGTATGCATGTTAAGAGGATCCCCCCATCCTCCCTCCCATATCTGGCCTCAGATACAGAATCTGCCTCAGATGTTTGGTGCTTTCCTGATTCTGTGGCTGAGGGATTCCTTCCTCACCGCCCCCCCTTCTTTTCCTGCTTGGCATCTGACCCTGTGGGTCCTCAGACTGTCCTAGCTCCCAGTGTCACAAGTATCCAGGCTGGCCCCAGGACATTCTTTGGCTTACCTACCTTCATTTTTCCTATTGCAAAACCCTCTACTCTTTATTTCCTTAACCTTTTATATCGTCTATTGCTAACCCACAGTTTTCCAAACTGCCCCTTACTAGAGTGATCCACAGGAGGAGAAATTGTTCCTATTGATGGTGACGGAGAATTGTTGACTTTTATCCAGTCCTACTTGGTACTAAGTACACTGAAGGGTTTATCATGCATGTTCATTTTGAATTCCTACACAATCCAGAGATGATTATCCGTATATGTATACGCACACACGCAAATGAGGAAACCGAGGGTTAAAGAAGTCAAGCAACTTGCTCAAGGTGAAAAAGTAAAAGTACATAACAGGATGCAGGCAATAAGATTCGAGTCTCCTGGCTCTTGGCTTCTGTTCAAATTCCAAGTATAGGACTATAATTTGCCTCCTGCCCTTAAAGAGCTTAAAAATCTTGTTAGGGGTAGATGAGGTTTATACACACAACAGAAGTTAAAATCGAGAGCCACTGTTTGTGGTATTGGGTTTGGTATCTTTGACCGGCTTCCTCCTCTGCAAGATACAGATAAGAACAACAACCTCAAGGGGTATGGGGATGATTGACCGAGTTAAGCATCCGAAGCGCGTAATACAGTGCCTTGTCGCGCAGTAAGCGTTCAGTAAATGTCAACTATCTCTATTTTTAAAGGAGGCGGACTGGAGTGGAGAGCATACAGGAGAGTCGGGAGTCCGGCTGTATACGCCGGACCCCTGCACCCAAATTCTCCGATCCTCGGTTTCCTGGTCCGTAAAATTAGGTGGCAGGAGTGGACTAACTGGAAGAGCAGTAAGGGACGCAGCCGTTGCCAGGAAATCCGAGAGGCCTCGGGGCAGAAAGGGTTAGTGACGAGTCTGGGGGCGGCTTCACGGCGCTCAGCGGGAGAGGCCCCGCCCCGCCCCGCCCCGCCCCGCCCCGCCTGGGAGGCCCTGGCAGCTCCAGCCCGCGAGCAGTTCCGGTGCCAAAACTCTTCCCTCCCCCGCTTCCCCGGAAGTGCTTTTCCAAGGTTCGGGCCGGAGAGAGGCCTTGTAGGCACAGCTGCTGAGCCTCGATCGGCTCCGAGTAGGGGCTCCTGCCCGGGTTGGAGCCCGGGGGTCCGCGGCCGCCGACCCGCGCCTGCCTCCTCCCAGCGCCCAGGCCGACGGTGAGTGGCCGGGGGAGCACACCCGGACGGCCGCGGGCCGCGTCAGGGCTTGTGCTCTCGGGCCCCCGCTGCCCGCTCTACGCTGCGGGCTCCGCTGTCGGGGTGCGGGGAAGGGGCTTGTCGATCGCCGACGTCCTCGCCGAGTCCGCCGGGCGGGAAGGAGCAGGCGGCGGGGCCTTGGGGTGGGCGGGGCGGAGCCGCGGAGGGGGTTCTTGGAGCTGTTGTAGCCGTTGGGACTTGAGAGTGGGGATGGGCTGGGCCTCGGTCCATCCGAGCTCCTCATTTCTGCTCCCCCAAATCTTCGCGTTGCCTCCGGGATTTGGTTTTCTCTGTCGACCTGGGGCTGGGAACATGGACACCAGACTCAATCTTGGGCTCCAGTTCCCGACTTTCGCGTCCTCCGGCTCTGTCCTCGGGTCAGTAATTAGCCCGGGTCCCAGGGGTGTCGTCTCCTCAGTCCCAGGGCTGGGCGATGCATGTGTGGATGCCGGGGGTCTTTTGCAAAGCTTTTCATCCAGACCCGCCTAGGGGGTGCCCGGGGATCGATTTGGACTGCTCTCAGGACCGGTTCTGGATACGTAGATCGGTGTGGCACCGGCGTGCCTCCCATGATCTTTACTCACTGGAAAGCTTGCTCAAGCTGTTGCTGAAGTCATTTAGAAAAACAGCTTGCTTGAGGAAAATCAGTAGTTAAGTTCCCTTATTTTCTTGCAGACTTAAAAAAAGGATGCTGTTCTCTAATATGCACTCCTAATTCTGGTGGCCATCTGAAGTCACAGTTGAATGGCTAGTTCATTCTGCGGTTATTGCACGAATTGATTACAGAGGGTTGGAGAATTATTTGTACCCCCTCTTCCCCGAAGTTTGTATACCTTCATATTTGGACCTGTCATTTTCCTTAACTTTTAAAGAAAAACTTTTCACAGTAACTCCTTAGAGGTTCCCTATACTGTTAGAGTTGTGCTGCAATGCAGAGGTTCACACAGGTGGACAGAGGTGGTGTGTGTGTGTGTGTGTGTGTGAACCTATATTTTGAAGTGTTTACCTCGGATAAATTGAGAACTTCCTAGAGGAGAAAGTGATGTAGGTAGTTTTTTTAGTGAACAGATTTCAGGTAGTAAACTGCTGGAAGGTTTGTAGGTGATAAGAGTTTTCCACATTTAATAGTGATTTTTAAATTATGATCACAAGAGAATGCGGTTACTGCAGGTTGTGACTGTCGTATATACAAACCACCTTTGTGAAACCAGTGGCACTTAACTGCATTTCTCAGCCTGTGCTTATATTAGGACTTATACTGTAGTTTTTTGGATACTTATCTCATTCTATCTCCTCCCACTACTGGAAGGGGAGGTAATGTCATGCATTAGGGAAAATAGACTGAAGTGTTAAGTTCAGTGGTAAGTGAGCTCTCCTGTGCAAAAGAAAATTTATTTCAGTGTTGTTGATTTTCAGCAGGCAAAGGGTGGATGGCTTCTTAAAAATTCTGTTTCTTTTATTCCTTTACTGACTGTGGTCAAAGGGTGGTTGATTTTTAAAGTCCCTGGAAAAAATTGTGGAGGGAAGATTAGTTGCCCAACTTTTAGATTTAGATGGAAACTGTAGATTCTTAGCTGTTTGAAGTACTTAATTGTTTAGAGCTTATGATTGGAATATCTGTAAAAGGAGTCCAGTTAGATATGATTATGGATCCATACATAGTGAGAGTATGATAGCTAATGTGTTTTGAAGGGAAATATTTTAAGAATTATAAGAGCAGGAAAAGGTAATCGGGGAATTTCAGGTACCCTTAGGCACTGTAAGTTTTATTATGTTCAAATCCATTCAATAGATACTGAATATTTGCATTGTAAATTTTATTGTATTATTCAAGTCAATGGGTACTGAATTTTTGCTGTGTTAGGCATCAAGCTATATTGGGCAACCGTGTAGGAGCAATAAAAATTCATGTTTTGGCAATAATTTTCTAAGGTGTATCAGAAATCATGAAGAGGTAAATTATATTGCTTAGGCATATTACAAAGTTTTTTAATTGTAGGTGGGCGTTATGTGTTTCATGAAAAGCACTGTTAGGCATTATAGGGTACAAAGATTTAAGTATTTGGTCTTTAGGAATTTGAAATCTAGAAGGGGATGTAAGATATGTACATAAAAATATGTAAATACTTACTGTGTGAGTGGTTTGACCTAAAGTTTGGAGTTATATGAAAGGAAAATGGGTTCATTATTAGCTAAAAAGTGGAAGGTGGGTGGTGGAGGTAAAAAATACTCTGAAGCTATTGAGCACTTAGCATCATGCTCTGTGCTAGTTGCTTTCCATACATTTTCTAAGCTTCACAACAACATATAAGCATCTTTCTTAATAAATAAGGAGGGCAATGCTCACGTATATTAAGTAGCTGAGCCTCAGTTTGAATCCAGGTCCACCTGGTGCCACAGTCTGTGCATTTCCACTATATCATGCTACCTCTCAATAAACTGGTAGCCTGAGTTTCACATTGCAGAGGGTAAGACTTTGCTAAAACAAGAATTTAGGGGTCAGGAGTAGGTGGATGAAGGCTTTTCAAATAAAGGGAATGATGTAAGCACAACGGTGGAGGTGGGAAAGTTCATTGTATACACAAAAAAGTTAGTGGACAGGTGTCTTAGAATATAGGGTTCATTTTTGGAAATAAGAGATGAGGTCTGAAATTTTAAGTGGGTCTGGATTGAGGAGCATGTTTAAATGCTGTATTTAGGAGTTCAACATTTAGGAGGTATTGAGAAACTACTAGGTCTAATAGTGTAGTATGTGAAATGATTTGTTGTAGAAAGCCAGCTTTCAGTATAGTATCCACACAGGGCAAGGGCAGTGGCATTGAGATAGAGTGGGTGGAGGAGGGATTGTTGGGAAAGGTTTGGAGAAACTGGAAGTTGAAAATTATATTCATTTTAAGTGTAGGTGATGGTGATGGTAGTACTATTACTAGAAATATAGGCAAGGAGGTGCATAATAAGATCAGTTTTGAATATGTTGAGTTTTTTATATACTTGCAAAACACTGGAATTGCCCAGAGGCTTTTGGAAATATGGGTTTGTAGGCCATGAGAGAGGTCAGTGCTAGGCATATATTAAACATGGATGTAGAGAATGATACAAATGGAGGTACTGGTTGAATCTGTATAAAGAGATGAAAGAGCTGAGAGGGAGTTTACAAGGAAAGAGAAAAATGAACTTTTATTTTAGATGGCATCTGTTTAAAACGGAAGGAAGAGATAGTCTTTACTCTATTCTGCTCCCTCCCATCGCAGATTCAGATGGACTACAAAGAATCTGATCATTGAAAATCCAGTTGGGAAATAAAATTTTCTTGCCTTTGCAAGCAAGGATATTATGCTGTCATTACCCCATTTCATGGAGGATGAACTATTTCAGACTCACTGGTTCCAGAGTGTTAGGCTTTAGTTACTTAAGAGCTGTTTAGTCGTTTCTTTTGGGCATTTGTTGGCAAGTGATATGTGAGGATTTGGAAGCAGATCTCTGATAGGTATTCTATTTATTCATATTTATGACTTTCAATTTTGGTTTTAATATCAAAAGCCTTTGAATATTCAAATATAATTTTTGTCTCTCCTATTCCTACTGGCTGCTAACAGTGCCTTTCATGGAAAATGGTATTTAATTACATACTTTTCTTCCAACTCTCTTTTATAAGTACTTTTGATTAACACAGGTAGTTTTGTCTTTAATGTTCTGATTATCCTAGAGGGATGGAATGATAAGCTACTTTTTTCCATCATGTAATGATACATATATAAAAACTATGTATTTTTATTTGGAAACTAAGGACTATAGACTTATGGAATTTCATGTAGTTTTCTGTTTGATATTTGAATATGGGGAACCTGTGTATTGTGTAAAAGATTGTAATAGTTTGCAGAATGAGGCTTAGAGTTGTAACTTTTTGAGGGCAAGTTTATTATTTTTAGACTGAGTTACCAGGGAAGTGTTTATTTCCTTCTTGAGAATTAATACATTCCTTTTGTTTCTGAGAAATATGTTTTTTACTATATCACAGGCTCATGGGAATGTCCTGAGAGTCCTGCGTCAGTCTTGTTGGAGGCAGGGGGTTTTGTGTGTGCTTTGTCTGGGCTGGTTGGCTTAGTTGCAGTGAGCCTGGTATTAATGAGGCAAAGGTCAGGAGTTCCATTTAGCTTCGGTCTGAGTGATGGCCAGGGAAGTACACCTCTAGCCAGCTGTCTTGGAAATTCCTCGGTTGTCATTGGTCACAAAGGTGACTGGATTAGGGTGGATCTTTATACCACTGAAAGGATATTAGAGGAAACTTAGCATAATGGTTAGTAATTCTGACTCTGGAATTAGACAGACCTGTGTCAAACTTCTTTGTCCGTGATGTTGGGAGAGTCCCTAAACCTCTTCAAGCCTCTACTTCCTCATTATTGAATAGGTTAATATTTGGTTTGGGCATGTCCTACTGTTGTTTTCTTTTTCCAAGTGGGAGTTAGCTGCTTAGACCTGTGGTTCCCCAATGCTGGACTATGGAGAGGTGTCAGTCCATGACAGAGTTTTCACTTGTCTGAAATGAGAATGAGTTAGCTTTTCATAACGCTAACTCTGTTGAATTTAAAAAGATAATATTTTTTTCTAAAATTGTCTTTTACCACTTTTGATGTAAGCATATTAGTTATTTTATGAAATAATGGTGGTGGTAATTGGTAGTTATTTTCTTTTTAAATGGTCTTGGCGAAATAAAAGTTGGCAACTCTATGCTGGTCCCCCAGTTTTGTTTTTAAGATTATGGTTCTGTGAAATCTGAAAATCTTGGCTTAAACAGAACCAGAGAATTGGGGGAGATTACTCATCTAATATACATAGTCAGGTGAGGTTTGAAGGTATATTCTACCCTTCTGTTACCCTATAGGAACTGTATTTTGATTCTCACCACCACTGAATTAATTTAATGTTGTCATGTTTTACATTAAGACTTTCAAGGAGCAGTT